GACAGACCTCTTCTCAGAATAAAATTTTTAAATAATTGAAGGAATTGCTAAATTTCAATTAGAGGTTTATGAAAGTAAAAATGCAATTTTTTTTTCCACACCCAAGTTCACAGATGCCTTGGAATCTATCCATAGATCCCAAGTGAAGAACACCTAATCTAGAGAATGTATCTACATCTGAATGATGCACTTTAAAAGAGATATTAGTATTTGAGAAAAATCCAAAAGAGGGTGAACACGACTGTGTATTTTGAAACCATACTATGTTATTGTTCAGTCATGTCTGACTATTCATGGCCTCATGGATCAACTGTCACTGGGATTTTCTTGGCAAGTATACTGAAGTGGTTTACCATTTCCTTCTCCAGTTTTGTGCAAGCAGGGGTTAAGTGACTTGCCCAAGGTCACACAGCTAGTAAGTGTCTGAGGTCACATTTGAACTCTGGTCTTTCTGACTCTAGGCCCAGTGCTCTTATCCACTTCAGCACCTAGCTGCTCCATACCACAGAAGGTAGCATTTAAAGGAACTGGGGTAGATCTGCCAAGAGAAGACTTAAGGTAGGCATAATTCCCTTCTTTATTTACACATATATGCTCCAGCCTCCAATCTCCATTTCTCAAAATTCTGTTCATAAGACAAAGCCTTGTTCAAATGCTGACACCTGCACAAAGTCATATGTGACCATGGACTCAGACTTTGATGAGACCTTGGAGATTGTATAGTAAGACAGAGGTTAAGTGTTTAAAATTTTCCTCTCCAAAGACAAATAAGTGTCTTTAGACTTTTGGACTCTGATCAATGCATACGAAAAGTGAGGTGAGGGGGAAGAAGGCTCGGTTTGCAGATTCGTTTGTTTTGTTTTGTAGTCAAGAAAAGGGGAGTGAGTATTCCAAAATCAAATTGAAGAAAAGAAGAGTTGACTGCACTATATTTGGCATATAGTATTTCTTTTGGTAACTCTAAGCTTTTCCCTGAAACAAAAACTGATCTTTTTATTAATTTCCTTTTTAAAAAAATATGAACTTCATAAATATGAACATTTCCATATACAAAGAAAAACAGAAAAAGATTGTATATGAAACTATGAATGTTTCATTGATTCCTTTCCTTTCCTTCCTTTCCCATACACAGGTACACAGATAGTACATACTGTGTATGTGTATGTGTACATGTTACTTGTTTATATATTATTTATTTACATATGTGTGTATACACTCACACATATACTGTCTTTTACTAAAAAAGTCCTTCCACAAGCAAAACACAAGCTGATGGTACAGGTATTTTCATTGTTTGGTCCCCATGTAAACTCCTTCCTGTGACACAAGCAGAGAAAAGAAATCTAGAATTAATTAGGAATTTACTCTTCAGAACAACACAGACTATGTGCTTATTTCCTTTCCGGCAGGGCAGTTCTTCAGATAAATAAAGCTGATAATGGTCATACTCTCCCTAAATCTCCTCTTTTCTGAGCTTAACCACCCCAGTCCTTTCAACCTGTTCTTATAGGTTTTAGCTTTGACACTCCTTATCTTTGCTACCCTCGGTATTCACTCTAGAATATGAACTTCCCTTTTAAAATGGGGCTTTCAAACCTGCACACAGTGACTCCGATGTAGTCTAAGGAGTACAAATACAGAGCGTAGACAGCAAGTGGAGGAAGAACTGGAAATTCTGAGAAGCAAAATAGGCTGTGGGATAGAGCTGTAATACTCTAGTCTAGTTTGAATGAGCGTTAAGCTTTTAGAGCCTAACAATGTTATTGAAAGCCTTAAGGTAGCTTTGAAAGAAGCTTAACTCTGCCTCCTTGTGGCCAAAATCAACTTGTGCTTTGAGGTTTTTCTTGTTTTCACCGAGATGTTATATTAGCGATGATAGATAGAATTCGATTTCTTCTTTTTACCCTGGTCTCAGTCTCTGCTCCCTGTCTTGCTCTGTCTCTGTCTCTCTGCCTCTCTCTGTGACTGCCCGCCTCATTTAAAAGAGCATAAAACCAAAAAAAAGTTGTCATTGCAGATTGAATTACAAGGTGTGTGTAATGTTTCTCGCTGGGAAGTGACTAGACAAGTCATCGTGTTAGTTTGACTTTATTCAAGTGCGATATATATGTATGTATGTATGTATGTATATATATGTGTGTGTATCTATATATATATTAAATTACATAACCGTTTCTACATTGTTATTTCTACATAAATGAATTTATGTCTACATAAATGCATTTGAGTTGCGGGGTTCCGGGAATGCTGCAAAAGACAGTGTGTCACATAGTTTCATCTGCATTCGTGTATTCGTGTTCTTTTTGGATTGCAGGGGTGCAAAGGGGGGCGCAAAAGGAAGGCAGACTGCCACGTGCAGCGCCTCATTTGGATGTGTCTGGAGTCTTGGAAGCTTGACTACCCTACGTTCTCCTACAAATGGACCTTGGGAGCTTGTTCTAGCAGGGGAGCGCAGCTACTCGTATACCCTTGACCGAAGAACGGTACGCCTCTATCGGGGAAGGTCGTCCTCTTCGACCGAGCGCGCAGCTTCGGGAGGGACGCACATGGAGCGGTGAGGGAGGAAGGGGACACCCGCCTAGCCAGCCAGATCAGCCGAATCAACCCTGGCGATCAATGGGGTGACAGATGTCGCAGCCAGATCGCCCTCACATCCAGCAAGCACAGCGGGCGCGTTCACTATATAGAGCCGAAAGTACGTTTTCTTTACAAGTGGGGTGACCAAGCGCAAGTACATGCGACAATCTGCTCAGGCAGATCTCTATTGCCTGCCTAAGAACACTGTTTTTTTGCGCCCCCTTGGGATACTTAATAATAGCTGAATTGTTTTGCAATTTGGGATTTTTTCCTCCTCCCCATGATCCCTTGCAGCTGGGTTGGGCATGCAAAGCACCAGAGTCACCATTGGTAGATCTGGTCCAAAGTCCTCGCCCACTTCGCATAACTAGGGCTCCAGCTCTGTGTGCCTCAACCAACTTTCCCTCAGAAGCTGCTCCTCTTGGACACCAGCTCGCAGGACCCTCTTCCCCAGCTGCGGACGGTGAGAATGTGCAGAGGTCATCGAGCTCCCCGGCCTCTCCCTCCCTGCCCCTTCGCTCCCTGGGCTCTGCTTTCGCTGCTAACCGGCTCCTCGCATCCCTCTACTTGCTCCAGAGGGTCTCTGCTTTGCAGCGCAGCCCACTTCCCCTCGCTCCACCTTCACCTCCTCCTCTCTCCCAGTTTAGGACTCTGTGCCAGTTGTGGAGAGACAGGGATTCTAGTTCCAGTTTTGCCACTGTGACATTTGACAAATCACTTAATTTCAAGGTGTCTTGGTTTCCTCATCTATAAAATAGGTGTGATGATAAGCGCTCAAAGGCTGTACTTGGAAAGTACTTTGAAAAATCCAAGTGCTGTTATAGCAGCGGTTGCTTCTTAAATTTGTCTTGGTACAGACGATTTGACCTGTCTTTGGGAGAGAGTCCTGCCTGAACTGCCTTGGAAACAAGTAACTATTTCTTTTGAGAAAGGTCTTTCTTGGCCCAGAGGGCTGGACAACAGTTCCAAATCCGAAGTTGCCAAAAAAGTCTTTAAGAAACTATTAGAAATAACTGTTAATCTTCCTTCCTGACAAGAGGATGGAGTAAATGTTTTGAATTCTGAAAACTCTTTTCTCCTGGACAGAAGTGATAGATGTGCATTCTAAAGAATGAGAGTGTTCTGATAGCCAGTTACTGTGTGAGTGGGCTGTCCCCTGTCTTATTTTTTTTTCCCTTAAATAAAAATAGTTCTGTGGCTAGGGTACCCACCCTGGATTCAGGAGGACCTGAGTTCAAATGCGCCCTCAGACACATAACATTTACTAGCTGTGTGACCCTGGGCAAGCCTAGCCAAAAAAAAAAATTCTAATCCATCAATTCTTTCCCCATAGGAAGTATTAGATATAATGGTTAGTTGGTCAGGCTAGGCCAGGCCAGCCCATGGAAACTTAATTACCTATGACTTGGGGTACCCAAGCACTAATTTATCAGTGCTCTAAGGCTCATCTCCAGAAAACTGGTGGTGAGGAAGATAAGGGGACACCCACAATTCATGGACTCCTGTCTACTAATCGGGGGGTTGAAGGGTAAAGACTTGCCAGTCTTTTAAAGTATTGAAGATATTCTTTCATCTATAGCTAAAAACCACTTTTGTGTTAAGAGCACATGAATTTTTCTTTTCTTATACCCTCTCTTCACCTTTCCTCCCCACAATTCCCTCTTTTTTTGGGGGGAGAGTTTAAGACTGAGCCCCAGTACTTGTTAACTTTCTACCCGTTCATATTTCCATAAGAATTGTATTTTGTAAGTGAATACGAATCCTTTGGTTTGTACTTGGTGTTCTGACAATGAAATACGGTACCCATCTTTGAAAAAAAGGATAATTTTAATCCAAAAAAAAATTGTCCCATGGAAACAGTGTTAGAAATAGTGTCTGGGTGATCTGGGTTGTCCACAGAGACTTAATTAACCCATAATGTATGTGAATTCTGTATCTTCTGTAGATGTGGGGCCTCTCTGAGTTGATCGTTACCTCGGTGTTCTGAATTAGGGAACAAGCTGTAGTTGGTGGAGGCATTGAGGGAGTGATGGAGATTGTCTTGTTTGACTCTCTCTGTACTGTTAATTTTAAGTTATGGAATTATAAAATCCCTCTCAGGGACTGAATAATCCTAAATGGGGAAGAGAGAATATCAGGGAAAGGGGGAGGGGAGAGTAACTGCCTGAATTATTAATTTTGAAAAATGAAATGGGTCAGTTATTTGTCAAGCTTGATTTGGGGTTAGAGGTTTTGAGAAATAAATTTCATGAGGGGGTATATTTCAGTCTCACTAGAATGTAGACCAGGATAATAACGACAGCTAACATTTATATAGCGCTTACTATGTGCAGGCACTTTGTAATTATGATCTCATTTGGTCTTCACAACCCTGGTTGGTAGGTTATGAGCTGAGGAAACTAAGTCATAGATTAAATGGCTTGCTTAGGATCACATAGGTGTTATCCGCGTCTGGATTTGAACTTGGGCCTTTTTGACTCCCAGACTATCTCTATCCACTATAATACCTTTGTATTCTAACTGGTAAGAGTATACTTTGTACTGACAGAGTATTTAGTCAATATTTGGTGAATTAAATTAACTCAACACCTTATGGTATGGTCATAGACTGGATGCCTCAGACTCAATTTCCTCATCTGATTAAAAAAAAAGGGCTTTGGGCTAGGTCCTTTCTAGCTCTAAAATCATTTTTTCTTCAGAGCCCACCTAGTCTGTTCTTCTGTCCTTCCTTCTTTCCCCTCTTGACTTCTCTTTTTCCCAGTATATGCCCTTCCTCTATTCTTCTATCATTAACCTTGTCCCCCTCCTCTTACTCCTCTCCTTAGATAAGACTGAATACTTATGATCTTTATTAAAGTTTGTTCATTTATTGTTTTTAAAGTACACACAGTACTGTACTTTAAAAAGAGATTTAATTGGGAAGCAATGAAAAAAAAACAATCCAGATAACAGAGGGACACAATGTAAGCAAATATTTTCTGGTTTTTGTTGTTATCTTAAATGGTCCCTGGTTTTTATATTTGTTTTTTTTATTAAATGGAGAAAATAGCAGGATTGAGATCATGCATTTAAGGGTGAAAGGGCCCTAGACATCACCTAACCCAGCTTCCTCATTTTATAGATGAGGTATTGGAAGCCCAAAGTGGCCTGCCTACCCAAGTCCACACAGATAGTCAGTGGAGTGTGGGTTATATCTAGTCCTTCTGCCTCCAAATTCAGTGCATTTCCTGTTGTATCACAATCCTTACAGACAATTAGGTGTTTGTCTTCTATAGTTTTCTATTTCATATATGTGTCTGTCTCTCCACCAACATTGCACGTGCTGTGTCTTTTACAGACATACCCCTGCCTAACACAGTTGGTTAATTATAATGAACCAATCTTCTATAAATGCCATGTACCAGGTCACAAATCAGATCAAGATTTCAAATATTTAATCTAGTGCCAACTGTATGCATGGGATTATACTGGGAACATGAAATCCAATCTCATCTAAGTGTCACTTATATATGTATATATACATTTTTTGTCTTTTTCAGAAAACTCAAAACATCACAATGGCAAATAAACCTATCCTCCACTACTTTAATGGAAGGGGCAGAATGGAATCCATTAGATGGCTCTTAGCAGCAGCTGGAGTGGAGGTTTGTCTAATGGGGGGTGAGGGAGGAAGGTGGCAGGGCACTTTCCAAGGAGATTTCATTGTTCACAAGCTCTGAGACATCTTAGAACATGCTAGTGGCCTAAATGTCTCTAGTTATCATACCCAATCCCTTCCTTTAGCCAAGAGATGTCTCCCCCAAAAGTTGACTTGTGCAAATTGATACACTTTTCCCCCCCAGTACAATCTTACTTTCTAATTGCTTTTTTCTTTATAGTCTTAGAGATACTTGATCATCAGTCTGGAACTGTAAGGCACCTCAAAGGGTCATTTTGTCCAATCCTCTCTTCTCATAGATGTGGAAACTAAGTCCCAGAGAGGTTAATGATTTGCTGAAGAGCCTCAGTTTAGTATTCAGTTCCGTATTTAAAGAGCTTCCTCTGTGGAAGGAACGAATGAAAATTTAGCAGTGGTTCTCACTAAAGTAACATTAGTTTTTCTGAACTCCCAAAGCTGTTTATTTATTTATTTTTAATTTTTTTTTTTTGGCTAGGCAATAGGGTTAAATGACACAGCTAAGGAAGTATGATGTGTCTGAGGTCGTGTTTGAACTCAGGTCCTCCTGAATCCAGGGCCACTGCACTATCCACTGCACCACCTAGGTGCCCCTCCAAAGCTTTTTAATTTAGGGCCTAGGACAAGGTATTTGTGGTCTGTGAGAAGGATTTGAATCCCATACGTTTTGGCGAAGTATGAATATATGTTAATGCTTGTGAGCATTTTCACTGGCTTTGTTTAAAATCAAAGATCTCTTAAATAAATAGACCATAATGCCATTTAAAAAAAAAGATAGATACTTGTTTTGCTTGTTTATGAATATTTGTTATGGGTTTTTTTTTCTTTTTCTCTTTTTTTTTTTCAAGGGAGGGGGGAGGTAGGAGTGAGAGAAAATTAGTGCTATTTAATTTTTAAAATTTTAGATTTAAAAAAAAAGGAAAGAAAATCAGGCTCCCTGAGAACGTGAGGTTTTGAGCATTCACTGTAAGTAACATGTATTTTTTTGCTCACAAAACCAATACCTAGAGGCAGCTAGGGAGCACAGTGGATAGAGTCCAGCCTTGGAGTCAGGAGGACCTGAGTTCCAATCTGGCCTCAGACACTTGACCCTCACTAGCTGTGTGATCCTGGGCAAGTCACTTAACTCCGATTGCCTCACCAAAAAACCAAACCAAAACAAAAAAAACCCTAATACCTACATGTTGCAGAGGGCAGAATTTTCTGATATTATGTACATTATATAATATGTACATTTATAAAAAGCTAATATTAAAAATTGTCCATTGCGTTGGGTTGCTCTCCTCCGTGACTATCTACCTTGCCTTCCCCTAGTCCTGGTACAGGCTTTCAGTGTCTCTTCCAGGTATGTAATGAATAATTAATAAAGCTAGTCAGCAAATTTATAAATGAAGTAGGAGGGGTCCTGCAAAAAGAGACTAGTATTGCCATTATGAAAATGTAACACTCCTTACTTAAAGATCAGTGATTTCCCTGGGGGGTATCATAGCTCCAGCTCTTACTTGTGTATTGTGTTAGTTACAATGAAACCCCTCCACACAGGGCAAACAAGTTTTGTGAGCTGCTTGACAAAAATATATAATTCTTCACTTGATGACTGACCAACCGTACAGGGGTGAACCATTCAAAGGTAAGCTAGGCGAGTCCTTGGGTCGCTAAAGTCCAGTTTGTCTTTGAGCATGCAAACAAAGTTTTTCTGGCTTAGTGGGACTTGATTAAGTTTGCAGTCATCTGAAGCACCCAAGTTCCCTCTTCTAAGGGGATCAGTTCAGCAGAGTAAATAATTAGCAAGCATTTATTAAGTGCCTGTGACATATCAGACACTGCGTTAGCCTGAGGGGATGCAAAGACAGGTCCAATTTGGCCTGGGTTCCAAACCCTGGAAGAGCTAACATTTGATCAGGGGAGACAATATGTACGCTTAAACAAACAAATATGTAACACATACATAAATCACATTTTTAAACACACATTCTCCTGAACTGCCTATGACATTTCCTAATATGTTGTATTTCTATTTCTATTTTAGTTTGAAGAACAATTTATTGAAACAAAAGAACAATTACAAAAGTTAAAAGCAAGTGAGTATAAAAAAATGCAATGGAAACTCTGGAAGGCCTCATCATTCAGTGGAAAGAAGGATACCTTTGGAGTTGGAACATCTTGGTTTGAATTCTGGCTCTCCCTGCCACTTGCTACTTGTGTGACTTTGGACAAGTCATTTCACTTTTATGGGTCTCACTGTCTTCATCTGTAAAGTGAGAGGTTGGATCAGGTGACTTTTACAATCCCTTCTAGCTCTAAATCTATGATCTTGCCTTTCGTTTTTATTAACCTGAAGGAAACCATCAAAAACCCGGTCCTAATGAGGATGGGAAAAACAAATTTTTAAAAGGAAAATATCTTTAACTACATTACAAGATTACTGATAATATAAATGTGGACTATCTGCTCTGCACCCAATGTAGGACACAAATTAACTCTAAGGTGTAGCTCAAAGTGGGGCTGCTAGGTGGCACACTGGATAGAGTTCTGAGCCTGGAGTCAAGAAAACCTGAGTCAAATTTGGCTGTGTGACCCTGGAAAAGTCACTTAACCCTGTTTGTCTCAGTTTACTCATCTATAAAATGAATTGGAGAAGGAAATGGCAAACCAATCTAGTATTTGTGCCAAGAAAATCTAAAATGGGGTCATGAAGAGTAGGAAATGACTGACCAATAATGTAATTCAAAGTCACATACCAAGCAGATATAAAGTTACTAAAGTGCCTCAGTGGGGCAGCTAGGTGGTGCCGTGGATAGAGCTCCCACCTTGGAGTCAAGAGGACCTGAGTTCAAATCTGGCCTCAGACCCTTGACACTTAGCTGTGTGACCCTGGTCAAGTCACTTAACCCCAATTGCCTCACCAAAAAAAAAAAGCAAAAAAAAAAAAGAATTTAAAAGTGGTTTAGTCTTTTACTTTAGTGAACTTGAAGAGACCCTGTACATTTATTTATTTGACATGATTTATTCATTAAACACCTACTGTATGCTGGGTAGTATGCTTGGTGCTACAGACACCAAGTCAAATATAAAAGTCCAGTTCTCACCCTTAGGGAGGTTACATATTACTATGAGGTACAATATCCAAACAGATAAATAAATACAATATAATTTGAGGAGAGATGGGGTACGGATGACTCATCACCAGAAATCCTGTTTGGTTGTTAGGGCATGTTTCTGAAGAGTTTTACAAACACCAGAGGTCCCTTCCCCTCCCTCTTCCCTAGGGAGCAAAGATGTCTCTACTATTAATTCCAATACCTCTAAGATCTACAAATTCCAGTATACTGTTCTGCATGAGACATGGGAGGGAATAAGCATTCATCTGGGTGTTGGGAGACCTGAATTCTGGTCTTCACTCTGCTATTAAATCACTGCGTGGCCTTCAACATGTTACTTCACTGCTCCAGGGCTTAGTTTCCAGCTCTGTGAAAAGAAATACTGGACAAGGTCATCTCTGAAGAGCCCTTCCAGGTCTCATATTCTGTGATCTTTTGTGTGTCCTTTGTAAAATGAAGCTACTTTAGTTGACCTCTCATTGGTAAGATGTTTGTATATATTTGGCTTCTTCATGTTTTACCTAGTTGGGATGATGGGTTTATATTCATCCACCTGCATTTGATTCCCCTTTTACAAGATGGCCAGCCTGTAGTAAGAGTGACTAGGAAGCATAATATGTGCCAGACACGGTGCTAAGTTCTGAGGATGCAGAGAAAGGCGAAAGACGATCTCTACTCCCAAATTGCTCCTAGTCTAATGGAAGCAAGAATATGCCAACAACTATGTACATGTAAGATATGTACAGGGCAAATAGGAGATGATCAGCAGAGGACAGGCCCCAGACTGAAGGAGAATCAGGAAAGCCTTCCTGTAGAAGGTGGCATTTTGATGAAGTGAAATGGTTGACAGGCACCAGACATTAGCCAAGGGTCGAATAAGCCAGTGGCTTTAGCTTCATTAACCCAGTATTCCAACCAGTTAGTAATTACATCAATATTAATAACTATCGTTTACTGTCGCCTGCGACTAAGTATTGCATCAAACCGAGGAGTGTGAAATGAGACAATGTGAGCCAGGCAATCAGCTTAAAGACTGAGCTGTTTTATTATTCTGAGAGTCCAGTTCAAATAGTGAAAGCTAACAATCACCCCTGAGGAGTTCCTGGCTAATACCAGCCCTCAGGTGTTACTTTAATTATAGGCACCTGCTTGCTGTCAAGGTTCAAGGATCTGTCAGAGTATTCTAATAGCTTCAGGCACCAGAACTTGGTGAGCCAAAGATTCTGAATAATTAAGCCCTTATGGGTAAGTAAAGGAAAGAGTCAAGCTGTAACCTAAATTCCTGATGCCATATTTAGACTCTTCAGTTCTGGTCCTCAACAATTCCCTATTTCTTTTTTAATTGACTTAAGGTGATGAACATCTGTACCCAAAGACTTGAACCATGATTTACCCATTGCTGTAGATAATATAACAAAGCAATGTTGAGATAAACAGTAAAGCAGGTACCTTTTCAAATATATTGGTTACGCCCAATTTTCCCGAATTTCTGGGGCTAGGTTCTGGAGTTGAGTCCCTGGGAAATGACTGTTAGCAAAAGACAAATCAGAATCAAAGATCTCCAATAAATTCAACATTATGCCAATGATACCTTCCAAGCCAATGCTTTGGTATATACAATAAGTGATACAGAGGATGCAATAATGAAGCTATTACCAAATGACATTGATGAGACAATAAGTGATACAAGGGATACAATATCCCAGATCACACAATGATCAAAAGTTACATTTATCCTGGAACACATTAGAGGCATACTGGCTTTCCCTTTGAAACTGTATAATCCCCCCTGCAAGGTGGTAAGCAATGCACACATGACTCTCCTTATACGATGTTAGTCACTTTAGCAATGTGTCCTAGGGTTGACTCTTCCCTTAAAAAGTCACATCACAAGGTGGAGGAGAGAAGGAGACTTAATTCTAACCGGCTTTTTCTTGTGAAATGAAAAGAGTACATTGTACAGGCATTTGAAGAAAAACAACGCCTCAAGGCTGCAGGGGAAAATGAGAGTCAATGCTGTTATCAAACTTCAGGGTAGTCAACTGCAGCATGCTCATCATTTGTAATAATGTCTTTGTTGTCCTCCTCCATTGTCTCGGACATTCCCTTCTTGTTCTTTTCTCTCTGCGCTTGGTCTGCAGTCTGAGTGTCTGAAGTTTCTGAGTCACTTCGAGCACAGATCTGGATGTTCCGTTCAGGAACGCATATTGGCCCTTCTGCACCATCTGGAAAGACAGAAGCATACCCTTGCCCCCAGCTTAACAACCTATCTGGCCCAAACCAATGATTGGTTTTGGGGTCCTTCCACATGACTCTTTTTTGAGTCTTTTTGTTCCTCATTATTACCTTTCTCATAAACCTTGAAGTGTTTTTTAGCCAGGGTATAGCCTTCTTTATCAGGTGTAAGAAAATTTAGAGCATATACCGCTTGTACCAATTGTCTTTGTGGCCTTCCGCTCGCTTCTCCCGCTTTTTGCTTTTGAAGAAGCATTTTCAGGGATCTATTTTTTTCGTTCCACAATTACTTGTAGGGTTATATGGGATCCCAGTGATGTTTTATTTTGAAAAGCATGAAAAACATTCCATTACTATTTTTTCCCTTTATTCAAGGGACAGTCAATGCCACTAGACTGGTTAGAATTAGTGAAAACAGATGCATTATCTATGGTGTTCTATAGCAGAATGACCGATTTTAAGATCGCATTTCATATATAAATTAAGCAAGCATGGGCTGCTGGTGCACCTTATATTTAGTGATGCTGGCAAAATTTCTTCCTACACTATGGAGGCACCGCAGGCCTTTTTATCCAGTTACTGGTTAGATAAAATACACGCAGAATGTTAATGCAGTGTTGTAATGGTAAAATTGATATAACTGATGACAGATTAAATGTGCCTGACAAAATCTTGTACCACACAGAGTATGTTAGGTTTTTGACTATTATGGACTTCGGTGGAATAGTCTTTAGATATTTCAAGCCTTTGTTTTTACTTACACAATGGTGCTCTATTCTGTATTTTTTCTCCTTTCCAAGAGGCATTTGAACACTTGTATTACATATTACATCCAAACGAGTCCAAATGCAACTGGTTTTTCTAAAAGCTTTTGTTCCGTAGTCACTGTATAATAGTCAAATTTCCACTATATTTCTTCTCATCTTAGAATATTTGTTTTACACACTGTGCTGACTTGGACCAGGTAAGTCAGTAAATATTACAAAAGATGAATCGATTCCACACTGCCTTTGGAGTGTGTCTGTATCCACATAAAGTTTTAACAGCTTTAATTTAAAACCAGGGACTTGTCATTCTCCAATAGTGCTTCTACGTCATTGACTTCCCTGTGAAATGGTCACTTGCTATGAACTTCCGTTTATAACTTTTTCCAATGGATTTGATCTTTGTATTTGTATAGTGGATCAGTGAAACAGGTTGCCATGAGTTGATATTTTAACCAATAAACAAGTGCTTTTAACCAGAAAAGAATCCAACCTGAAATTTCCAAATATCCTAAAGACTCAGTGTAATGAAATTCAATTTCTCTAAATTCACAGTAGGACATGTCACTCACAGTATCATTGTATTATTTAAATGCCTTGAAGTATGTGTACTTTCTTGTTAACAATTGGTGGTAGTTTAAGTACAATTTCATTATCTGCTTTATCATCATTCATTTCAGCTGCTTGAGCTTTCCTTCTCTCTAAAAATGTTGGTGAATAAATGGGTGTGGGGCACTGGCTGTTTGCCAAGTTAAAGACAGCATCTGAAACATTCATTCTTTCCCTCTTGGGTAAATCAATTGTAATTGTTCTTGAAGCTTTATATATGCTCTGAAAAAACATTTTAGGGATTACATAACAAACTCTCCTATAAAATAAGGCTTTTTTTCCTTTTGAAAAACTTAGATGCTTCTGAAAGGTCAAAACTCAAACAGATTCAGGAGTAGGAGAAAGCATGAGGTTTCCTATACAGCTTTCCCAACACCCCTCAATCTTAAGTTGTGCCACTCATGTTACTCCGATGTAAAGCATATTAATTAGCTGAGATTGGCAATTATATGTGATCTTGCTTTCTTGGAGGGGTGAAATAAATCTATAAGAGCGGACAGATAACTGAAGCTATTTTTTCCACCTCATGACAATGTACACACTATAAGAACCATAACCAGCTCCTAATTTTTGTGCTTACACCTCCACTATTTGTTAGTAATAAAGTTTTGAAAACTGCTTTTCCCTTCTACTTGGGACAGTGATGATATGAAGCATGTAGAGAGTTCTTGTAAAACTTATCAAAGAAACCTTTCAAAATCTGTTGTTATTAAAGTCTTTTTCTACTGCTTTCCCTCTCATTAAAAAGAAGGAAAAATATCCTATGTACAAGTGAATTGCCTTTTGAAAATCATGTTTTTAAGCAAACACCTAAGCTGCCTGTACCTCTTGTTTTGTTGTTAAAAGCTTTTGATCTCTGTTCCTGTCAAGTGTTCCATAGTAACAGGAATCCCTATTCTGGACTTTATTGTATCTTCTAGTACTATATTATTTTGCTGACATCCAAGTTCAATCGTTGAGTATTTAAAAGTCCCTGTATGTGGTATCCAATAACAATTCTCTTTCTCCAGCTGTTTTTAGTTGATCTACTTTAATCAGTTCTTTACAAAGATGCACCTTCTGGCTGCTTAAACCGCTTGTCTATAACTGGTCAATACTTCTAAGTTCAAACGGTTCCTTAACATGTTCTTCCATGCCATGATTTGTCTGTTTGAGATCTTCAGTATCCTCCACTTTCCTGACCTCTTTTTGATGGCAAATATTGGGGAGTTCCAGGGACTCGTGGATGGTTCTCTGTATCTTGCAACTAATTGTTCCTCTGCTATCTGTTTAAGATGTTTTTACCTGTATAAAACTTTTCACTGTAAGTCCAGGCTGGCCAGGCCTAGACCCACAGGGAAAAAGGAGTTTTACAATTTGTTGCTTCCCTAGCTGCAGCCCCCAGAAGTCTCTGGCTGCATTTAAAATCCTATAAAGTACAGTTACATACAGAGACACATACCAACATACAAACTGACAGAACAAATACAATGCATAGTGACATAGTGCACACTTAATGACACAGAGAGAAATATTAGAAACCCTTAACCTGAATTGGCTATTATTATCGTTATTCTGAGGAATTTAAAGGGGAAATTGCAATTGTTCCTGTAATTCTGTGTATCTCCCTGTTAACCCCTGTTCTGATGTTGTATTTTACTTGTTTTTGACATTGTTCAAAACATTCTGACTTCCAAATGAAATAACCTCCAGGATCAAGGCATAGCTTTACTATAGAATACCAGTCATATGGGGCTAATGCTGTATTGGATCTGTAATTAACTAAAGCCTGTTTTAATTCCTTTAACAATTTAAATTCAAATTCTCTATGAACTCTAATGTTTGTACCTGGGTTATTTACATCTTCCTCCTCATATACTGGAGATAGCATGGTTTTTGGCACAGCTAATTTTAATTCCATGGGTACTTTCTGTCCTCTTTCCTCTGCTTTTATGATTGCTTCTTCTAATATCCCTTTACAATGTATTTTATGGCGTTTTTGATCTTTATTTATCTGCTCACTATCTTCTCTGTATGACCTTGATCTATGTGAAGGTGAGGATCTTGATGCTGCTGAAGGTGTAATAGATTTTGCATAGATAACATCTTCTACAATTCTAAGCTTTTCCTCAAATACTCTATTGTCTCTTCTTTTTCCTCTGTTCCCACACCTACACCTTCCTTAAGTACTTTTGCAGTTAATAGCACTTTCTCTGGAGGAGTGAGACATATTTTTAGCACGTTCCAAATTGAGAATGTAGCTATGGAGAACGCACCTAAACCTACTTTCCTATAGTGCTCACTGATTTGTCTGCCCACCATTTCCCATATTTCTAAGTCTATTTTTCCTTCTTGAAGGAACCACGGGCAGCATGTTTCTACACATTCCAAAAATTCCTGTAACTGACCATCTGTAATGAATGAACCTCTTTTTTTCACTATTTCCTTGAAAAGTTGTAGATAATATTTTCTGTCTTTGCTTCTGCTTTGCGTTTGACCCATACTTTTGATCCCAGGGCACCTCCCAAACCAAAAGTAAGTACGTGTGGCCTTCCACAGCCATATTCTTATGCTCGAGCCCTTTTCTTTTCTTCTCTTATGGTCCCATTACCGAGCCTTTTTTCTCTTGTTTTCCTTATATCCCCACTTTAGCCTGGTATCCTTTTAGCACTAAAACTGCTAAAAGATAGGGTGTTGTGACCTTCGCACTCTTTACCTTGATTCCACAGCGTTGAGCCTCCAAGGACCTTGTTTCCACAGCATACAGCTGCCAAAGGTTTTTTCTCCAAAGTTTCCAAGACAGCCACTTCTCTTGTACCTCTTTGGGTCCCTGTTCATGGCACCACCTCTCACCCGTGACTAAGTATTGCATCAAATGGAGGAGTGTGAAATGAGACGATGTGGGTCAAGCGAGTTAGCTTACAGACTGAGCTGTTTTATTATTCTGAGAGTCCAGTTCAAATAGTAAAAGCTAACCATCACCCCTGAGGAGTTCCTGGCTAATACCAGCCCTCAGGTGTTACTTTAATTAGACACACCTGCTTGCTATCAAGGTTCAAGGATCTGTCAGAGTATTCTAATAGCTTCAGGCACCAGAAATTGGTGAGCCAAAGATTCTGAATAATTAAGCCCTTCTGGGCAAGTAAAGGAAAGAGTCAAGCTGTAACCTAAATTCCTGATCCCATATTTAGACTCTTCAGTTCTGGTCCTCAACAGTTTATATAGCACTTTAAGGTTTGCAAAGTGTTTTACAGATATCTCATTCTTCCTTCACAACAACCCTGGGATGTAGATGCTATTATTATCCCCATTTACAGATGGGAAAATTAAGGCCCATAGAAATTTGACCGACTTGCCCAGCTCACACAATTGATAAGTGTCTGAGGCCAGATTAGAATTCACGTCTTCTTAAATCCAGGTTCAGGGCTCTATCTACTAGCAGTTTCTCTTAAGTTCCTCATCCACACATCAATGCTATGAATAAAAGTGGGTCTCTCTTCCTCTCCTTAAAAGCTTAAAGGGCCAGGGATGAGATCAGCACTCCTTTTGTGTCTTGGTTCCATACACAAGGTCTTCTATCCTTCCATTTTGTCCATATCTCCTTTTAATTTTCTTGCTGGTTTGCTGCCCCAGGACCTGACAGTACAATCTTGTGGTTTCTATGAGTTGTTGGTTGCCAAAAGTTTTGACTTCTAAGCCTCTACTTCCTGTCCTCAGCTGTCCTGCTGTTCCAACAAGTGCCAATGGTTGAAATCGATGGGATGAAGCTGGTTCAGTCCAGAGCCATTCTCCACTATATTGCTGAGAAACACAATCTACTTGCGAAAGACCTGAAGGAGAGAACGCTGTATGTGACAGTTCTGTGCTTGCTTGGGGTTGACTTGGCTAAGTAGTTAGCTGGCCCTGTCCCACACAGTTGTCATACACAGACTCTTCACTCTTCTATATGATATTGCTTTCAGTGATGGGCAAAGGACTAGAGCATGGTCAGGACCAATTTAGCCTTCAGTTGTTTTCCTACCTTTTAATTCATAAGAACTTTTTGTTTTCAGGAATTTAACACAGAGGCCTAGGATTCAAAGAAGCCCAGCCTTTCTTTTTTCACCCTCTAGTTCCTCAATAATAGGATTTTCCAACACATGTCTTCTTTTGAAGATAGGAAGCAGAGACTGGCTGGGGAATGAATTCCTCTCCCTGATTTGTGACAAGACTTTTTTTTTTTTTTGTGAGGCAATCAGGATTAAGTGACTTGCCCAGAGTCACACAGCTAGTGAGTGTGAAGCATCTGAGGCCAGATTTGAACTCTTCTGATTCCAAGGCTGGAGCTCTATCCAGTGTGTCACCTGGCTTTCCCAGGATTGATTTTTTTTTTTTAAGAATTGCTTGACTCCACAAAGCACCTTTACTTTGAGAGGATTTAGCTTTAGTCAAAGAGCAGGCTTCCAGGTACCCCTGATGTTGTGGTTCAGAGATGCTTATTGGGGAGACTAAGGAAAGGACACATTAACTGAGACACTACTTTTTTTTTTTAAGGATTATCATGTACTCAGAGGGAACAATGGAACTGATGGGCCTATTGGCAATGCACGGTGTCCTAAAAGGAGAAGAGCAGAAGCAAAAACTCCATGAAATCACTAACAAGACCAAAAACAGATACTTCCCTGCTTATGAAAAGGTAAATGATGGAAGACCTGATGCACTTAGAATGATGAAACCAGAAAAAAAAAAGAGAGAGAGAGAGAGAATTGAGGAGCAGGGGCTAGGGCAGTTCTCGAAATGATTTTTCCTCTTCTCCATTTTTTTTTTGTAAAACTAACCTCAGAAGAACATATTTTAGATTGCTAAGAACTTATGACTCTGTACCATAGTGGATGGAGGCAGGAAGACCCAGGTTCTAGTCCAAATCGGATGCATGTGGGCAGTGTGACTTTATATAAGTCACTTAAAGGCTCTCAGTGCTCCAGGCTGCTGCTACTGTTATTACTACTGCTAGCTAATATTTACATGGAGGCAGCTAGATAGCTCAGTGGATAACGCGTTAGGCATTGAGTCAGGAAAACCTGAGTTTGAATCCAGGCTTAAACAGTTACTAGGTGTGTGATGTTGGGCAAGTCACTGAACCTCTGTTTACCTTAATCCCATGGAGGAAGAGATGGCAAACCACTCCAGTATCTTTACCAAGAAAATCTCATGGATAGTATTGGTGTGATATGGTCCACAGGGTCACAAAGAGCCAGACAGGACTCAACAACAACAACATTTATTTATATAGCCCTTGTTATATACCAGGCACTGTGCTAAGGCCTTTACAATTATTATTTCATTTTGATCCTCACAACAACCCTGGGAGCTAGGTGCTATTCTTATCTGTATTTTACAGATGAGGAAACTTGGATATACAGGGAATGAGGGGCTTGCCCAAGGTCACACAGCCAATAGGTATCTAAAGCTGAATTTGAACTCTGGTCTTCCTAACTTCAGGCCCGGCACTATATGCCCTACCTAACTGCAGGCCATGAGTTGCAGAGAAGGTCATTGGTAAGGGAAGTTCTTTCCTAGGATTTCTCTAACACCCTGAAATTGTGAATCTTGTCCAAAAAGAACAAGAAGAAAGATGAAATACAAATACAAAACCAAGATGCTGTGGGGGCAGCTAGGTGGCGCAGGGGAGTCAGGAGGAACTGAGTTCAAAACCGGCCTCAGACCAGACATTTGACAATAGCTGTGTGACCCTGGGTAAGTCACTTAACCCCAATTGCCTATAAAAAAAATAGAACAAAGCAAAACAAACCCAGCATGCTCCTGCCTCATTCACTATTACCTGGGTTTCTTTGAGCAAGTCAATTAATCTGTCTGGGCCTCAGTTTCCTCATCTATAACACAAGGGGGTTAGATCAGTTCATTTTCTTCTGACTCAGAAAATCTTAGACAATTTCTACCCTAAGCCTGGTTAATGGACAGTCATGGATATTGTACTGGGTGACCAACTTTGGGATCCATACAAATCACCTGAAGTCCCTCCACACAAATCTTTTTTCCTTTGTGGGAAGAAAAAAAATTTTTCATAAACTGATTTCCAAAGAGGTAGCATTATACAGTGGAAGGAATACTAGGTAAAGTCAGAGGATATAAGTTTAAATCTTGCCTCTATCACTACCGGTTTGACCTTGAGTAAGTCACTTAACCAGTTTGCATCTCACCTTCTTCATCTGTAAAATGAGGGGGTTGTATTAGCTCTAAATCCATGATTCTGTGGATTTATAATATGTGGATAAATCCCTTTAAACACAGGACATTTGAGTGGAGAAGAACTCTGGAATTTAATGGTACAACCTCATTTTGAATTGGAATTGATAGTTAATCATGCTTTCTTTCTCACTCCCTCTTCTTCCTCCTTGCTTGACTGTCCATTAGCTAGACCTTGGACAGTCTCATCCATTCCTATGTACTCTTGCTGCCTTAGTCGATCCATCACTCCTCTGTGAAGTTACAGGCATCCTCAACATTCTCCTGTGCTTATGTCGTTCAGGTTTTAAAGACGCATGGACAAAACTTTCTTGTGGGTAACCAGATGAGCTTGGCAGATGTACAACTCATTGAAACTATATTAATGGTGGAAGAGGTTATCCCTGATGCACTCTCTGGATTTCCTTTACTCCAGGTAATTAAAACTGAAGTTTGAAAATTGCCTAAAGACTTCTTCCTTAAATATCTGATGATCAGTTGGCTTTCAATTTTAAGTCTAGGTCAGTAAGATTGTAATTAGAGGACTTGGATTCAAAAACTGATTCTGCCTCTTACTAACTAAGTGACTATGGATAAATCACCTTGCCACTCTGGGCTTCAGATTCCTCATCTAAAAGTGGAGAGTTGACCAAGTGTGGTGGCCCAGGAGACTGTTGGATCTCTTGAGCTCTGGAGGCCTGTGGTGGGCAATGCAGATTGGCTGTTTACTGACACTAAGTTAGGAATTAACATGGTGGTTGGGGTGGGACAGAAAGTGGAACAGGAAATTGGCCCATGAGTAGCCCCTTCACTTCCAGGCTAGATGAGATAGGGAGATCCAGTCTTTAAAGATAAAATAAAAGGAGAAGTTGGGAGAAGTGACCTTCCATTTATTCCAAGGTCTCTTCTGTGTTCAAACATACAGTCCTAGGATGTCAGAAGGATCAGGGTTCAGTTTCTACCACATGCAGAGCCTGGTCATGGGTTCTCCAAGGCAGTTTTCTAAGATGCTGATTTAGGAGGAAGATTCCATATTATGAGTCTCAACAGTGATGAAATGACAGGTCTAGACAGAAAGGAAAAGAAAATGAATATGTAAAAGACATACATGTGCATTTGTGTGTGTGTATATATACATATATTCACATATGTAAATGTACAAACACATATATTGTATAGATTGAAGTAAGGATAGCGAAAAGATTGAGAATTAAATTCCCAATACCCAGTTCTTTTACATGTTAGGATTTTTTGTACTTAACAATGGTTTCATCTCTACTTTTCTCCCAAGCTGCCTCATGCACCCAAACTTTCTTTGTTGAAAGTTGACCCAAGGGAACATTCCTGAAACAAATTTATCAGTCTCTTCTATACAAGCTGAAGCATAGGAATGAACAGGAAAGAGTCAGTCCCTAAGATATTGGGGGAGTTTCTCTTTTTCTAAATCTAGACAGCCTCAAATTTAAAAGTCTGATGTCCAAGTGCAGACTAGCTCTGGCCACCCTCCGCATCCTACCCCTGCTGTGGTTATGTACCTTGTGAGGAGACAGCAGCTTAGACTCTTCTTAGTGTAAACATCTGGTTCAATTTTATTTTCCACTTGGCCCACCTATGGAGTGGGTTAGGGTTCATGGCAGTCCAGCTCAACTGGACTCACCATTTCACCATTGCTCCCTCTCCAAACACATAAAGATATCTGGGTCCTCATTCTTGTCCCCACTCTGTCTCTTTGTCTCAATGCCTGGCCAGATCCAGCTGCCCTCCCAAGAGTCTTAGGGCCAAATTCTTTCACAAAAATGCAGTTTCCAGTTAATCCTAGAATTCTCTTGATGTATCTGGAAATGGTGAACCACTCCAGTATCTTGGCCAAGAAAACCCCAAATGGGTTCTTGAAGAGCCAGACACAAGTGAACAACAAATCTGTTCTTCCAGATTGTTCCCTGTAAATAAGAAGGTATTGCTGTAAATTGTAGGTATTGTACCAAATCTAACCCAAGTGTTTTCCTCATCTAATCTCTACTCTGATAACTGCTCTCTCAAGCCCTCTCTAAACATGATCCCCAAAGCATGAGCACCTCCAGCTTTTTGGTCTTCCCTACTCCAAAGAGTAATAATAATGTAATATGGCCTGGGTCACATGAATCATTGATTGTGTTTACTTTTAGCAAAGTTCAGAAATAATGATCATAGCAGTGCAAACAATGGTAGGTAGCTTATCAGGTGCTTATAAATAAAAAAGGTCGTTAGTGCCTTCTCATTCAGGACTGTGTTTTGACCATGACATCAGGGAGATGAGGACATGACCTGTGATTGACTTTGATTTGAGTGAGGGAGGGCTGTGTGAAGTCACTAGCCTCACTTTTAAATAGGCACAGTAAGTTAGAGGGACTCAGGATGCAGTGAAGCAGTGAAACCTTTAATATGCTTCTGGCAGGAAGTGGGTGTGGATGAGCACACACACCCTACAGAAGAGAGAATAAACCTTAATTCCCTCTTCCCAGCCACAAGTCCCTCCTAGCTGACTTTCACAGGTAGAAGTCAGCACAGGTCACAGACTTCACAAATTGCCCACCACATGTTCTCGTAGGTAAGTTTCAAGCATGATCACTCTAGGTAGAGCTTAGCTTTTGTCCTACTTCCAGCCTCTTTCATCAAACACCAGTTTCACCCAATTTTAGCTGGTTTCTGACCCAAAGCTACTTTTCTTCTCAATTTCCTTATATGAAAATATAATAGTTTGTTACTTCTCACAAGAGCCATTTGGGTCCAATAGTCAGATATTCCTCAGGGCGACTGAAGATGGCTGCCATGAGTGGAAACCCAGCTGGCCAGTTCCAGCTGGGTAACTCAGCCCCTCCTCTCCCTTTTTCTCCCCTCCCCTCCCCTTACCTGAGGGTGTTCTGCCCAAAGGAAGGTAAATTTTGATGGCTGAAAGCTGCCTAGTTAACTTGGGGTTTACTGACTAGATCTCTCTCTTTCAAAGACCAAGCCTTAAACCCAATTGACTCTGGAGCTCATAGAATGGACAGCAATAAGTCCCTGCCAAAGCATGACTTAATGGTTATTTTTTGGGTCCTCCTGGCTCAGAGTAAATGTAAATAGTAACTCTCTCTCTTGGCCAGAAACCCTGAGGGTCTTCCCCTCCCACTTTGATTTGTTTTTTAAATTAAAGTGGCCATCCCTGGACTCACTTCTTAAAGAGGCCTATTTAATGAATGGGCATTGCCTTACTCAGAGTGAGAACCTGAAAAGACCTTAGCTTAAAAGGGCCAAGGTCTCCCACAGCATCCTGAGGCATCTCCAGTGGTCCTGATGAATATGTGACCACTGGACCCAGATGACTCTGGAGGAGAAAGTGAGGCTGATGACTTTGAACAGCCCTCCCTCACTGAAATCAAAGTCAATTAGCCCTCTTCAAGACTGAGGGACAAACACAATTCAGGAACTGTGAGGGGAAATCCTATTGTGGAAAGTTCTTCCAGCAATGTAGATCTTGTCTACAACTTCAGAGCATCGGTATTCAAATGTTTTGATGTCAGAACCCCTTTATACTCTTAAAAATGATTGAGGGTCTTTCCCCCCCACACGCACACATTCCACAAGATCTTCTGTGTATATGGGTTATTTCTATTGATATTTACTTTATTAGAAATTAAAATGTCTTTAGTATTATCAAGAAAATAGGTTTTGATTTTGCAGACCCCCTAAGAGAGTCTTGGACAGCCTAGGGAGTCCCTGGACCACACTTGAAAAGCCATTGCCTTAGACAGTAACTTGGGCCACAGGGAGGTTAAATGGATTTTCCCTTGATTCTAGAGGTCTTCCCTTTTCCAAATTAGTCTTGAATTACTAAAGTTTGACTAGATGGAGAAATGTGACTTTTTTTTGCCATTCCTAATTATGTAGTTGGAGGGGGGAGGGGGGGAAAGAGTCTCAGTGCCACAGGTACTGAGTTTTTCCCACAAGCTTATGTATCTATATGGCCAGAAAGAGATGACTTTGCTCTCTACCTTTGGCAGAATGGAGTCATTAAGAGAGAGCCAGCCACAGAGTCAGGTGGACCTGGGTTCAAATTTTATATCTGACACCTACTCTCTAGGTTGCCTTGGACAAATTCATTTAACCTCTCTGTGCCTTAGGCAACTCTCCAAGATTATGACTCACCCAGCACTTGCCAATATTGTTATTGATAGAGGCAGTTACCTTAGTAGGAGTTCTCTATGCCAAACGTCAGAGTCAGACAAAACAAAATGAAATTAAAACCTGTAGAAGCTGATTTTGTTTTTAACTACGGATGGCAGTGTATCCCTCACACTTACTGACATTTTCATGTATTTTACTCACGTTGCACCAAGGAGAGTAAGCAGTGTGTTATAGTAGATAGATGATTACAGCCAATCAATGAATATTTATTAGGTGCTCACTATATGCCAGGCATTGTGCTAAGCACCAGGGATACAAAAAGAGAGAAAAGACAGAACCTGCCCTCAAAGAGCTTAGGTCTAATGGGGGAGACAACATGCAAACAAATATATACCAAGCAATATCTATACAGGATAAATAGGAAGCAACTAGCAGAGGGAATAATTAATAGAGGGAAGGCCCTAGAATTTAGAGGGGTTGAGTTACAAGCCTTAATTTTGGCTCCACAATTTATTAGCTGTGTTACCTTGGGAAAGTCACTTAATTGATTTTAGTTCACTCAGTTAATCATAGGTTTTAATTCTTCATTAAGACCATTTTCACTTTCAATACTGCTACCCCTGAATTTTGGGGGGTATTGCCATTATCATTTTGACTTTGTGTCATGAGGTTTTTTTTTTCACATAAACTGACTTTCCTTTCAACCTTTTCTCCTCTAGGCATTTAAAACTTGAATGAGTAATATCCCAACAATTAAGAAATTCCTGGCCCCTGGAAGCAAGAGAAAGCCTGTTGCCGATGCTAAAAGTTTAGAAAATATTTGCAAGATCTTCTTCTGATAAAACAGCAAACCTGACCACAAAGAGAGAGATTCTGTGTGTGATTACTCTGTGATTCTAGGACCCTTAATGTCAGACTCCAATCATACCAGTGCTCTGTGAGCCTTTTCTAGGTATAGCTGCAACCCACAGTAGCATTTCAGAAGTGCCTAACAAAACCCAGAAGGGCATAGGAGGCAAGAGAAGGGCACTGTCTCCATTCTAAATCTCTTCTTTTCTCAGTCATCAAAGGATTAGAATGTCCTTTAAACACTTGACCTTGAGGTCACAATTCAGCAGTGATCTCTTGATTTCTTAGCTTTCTGGATTTCTCCACCTTATCTTGCTCTAAGCCCTCTGGTCCTCTGGTTCACTCTTAAGCTTCAGGATTATACATGTCCTGAGCCTAACCCTCCCCATCTGTTCCCTGAGCTGAGGGAGACCACCACCAGCTATATGCCCTCTTCACCTTCCAGAAGTGACCTTGGGAGGGAGGCCTTACCTAAATTGCCCCAGCACCTAAGACATTGAGTACTTGCTGAATTTTGCACCATGTTTTTTGTGCTAAACATAGCATTTGAAGTTCTAATAAATAGCACCATGTTACTTAATGCTACTGACCTAAGTCCCAATTTCTTGTGCTGTGACAGCAAATGAAATAGACAGGCAGCAAATAAAGGCTTTCTGTGCACAGATCTGTGGCTTATGTTTACATTTTGCGTTTAGAACTGAAAATGGACAGCTAGTGTGTTTTTATTCGTTTAGTCTGAATAGACCGAATATTCCTTGAAAAAGTCCTTCAGAAGGTATCATGACTGAGGTGATGAAGGGTAAGGTTTGGGAACATATGAATGATGATCCCATCTCTTCCTAATGCTATGCTGATAATTTTCCCCCCTAGTTTTGAGCATCTCAAAGTTTGTCCAAGGTCTAGATAACAGTCCTTGAAGAATTTTCCTCTTATCAAGATACTTTGTGTATAGGGATGAGTGTATGTGTTTCAAGATAGGGATATGTTTGATTTCCACCATACCTCCTAGGGCTAAAATTTCAAGAAAACAAGAGACCATTCATTGACATGGAATGTGATTCCTGTAAAAAACAAAACAAAATGAGAAAAACAAAAACAAAAGCTAGTCAGAGAAAAAAGAAGCCCATGTTGTTCCCATGTCTTGCATTCATCCAGTCCAGTAACCTCTTAACTAGTGGAGAGGAGTAGCCAAGAAGAGTATTTTGGTCAAGGACAGCTAGGTGGCGTAGTGGATAGAGCTCTGGCCTTGGAGTCAGAAGGAGCTGAGTTCAAATCTGGCCTCAGACACTTGACACTTGCTAGCTGTGTGACCCTGGGCAAGTCACTTAACCCTAAGTACCCTGCAAAAAAATGTATATCTCTGTCTATCTATCTGTCTATCTATGTATCTATATTTATATGTCTAGCAGCATGGAGTAACAGGTAAAGCAGAAAATTTGGAATCAGGAAGACTTGGGTCTGGTTTCTGACACTTACAAAGTGTGTGACCCTGGGCAAGTCACTTTATGTGACTTCACATAAAGCTTCACTTCTTTCCTTTCTAAAATGTGGGCGGGGATATTGGATAGATAACTCCCAGGGTTCTGTCTAGCTCTTAGCCTGCTGTCCCTTGAACCTCCATTTTTCTCCTCCTGTCCCTATAGACTCCAGTGACAGTCTGAAGCATATCCATTCAATGCACCAAGAACTTCTGTAGGGCACATGTCACTGGCATTTGGCTATAGGGCAGTACATAGTAGAAATATAATTCCCTGCATTAGTATGGTATAGTGAAAACAGCAGGGGCTCTAGGGTTGGTGGACCTGGGTTCAAATTGTGCCTCTGGCATTACTTTTGTGACAGTGGGCAAATCACTTAATCTCTATTGTTTCATCGTCTATCAAATGTCAGGACTGTTTCAGATGGCTTCTCAGTTCCTGATCAGCTCTGGAGATATGATCCTATAACCTCATGGGGATGGACAATCAGTCACTGAAAACTGAGTAGTTTAGGCCAGCAGTTCTCAAACTTTTTGGTTTTAAGACCCCTTTGTTCTCTTAAAAATTATTAAGGACCTCAAAGAGCTTTTGTTTATGCGGGTTATACCTATCAATATTTACCACATCAGAAATTAAAACTGACAAAATTCTAAGATACTAATTCATTAAAAAATAACAAACCTATTATGTTATTGTAAATAACAGTTTTATAAAAATAGTTATGTTTATGAAACAAAAAATTTAGTGAGAAGACGGCCATTGTTTTTCATATTTTTTTCAAATATCTTTAATGCTGTGGCTTGTATGACAGCTGAATTCTTATATCTTCCTCTGTATTCTTCCTGTTGTGATATGGTATTTTGGTTGAAGTATATGAAGAAAAGCCTGCCTCACACAGCTATGTAGTTGGAAAAGAGAGGAGTATTTTAATTAAGGCAAAAAACATCTTGGCATTATTATGAAAATAGTTAGGACTTCAAGGCCCCCCAGAAAGTCTTGGAGATCCCCAAGGGTCTTTAAACCATACTTTGAGAATCAATCTTTTTGGGGTGGTTAGGTGGCACAGTAGATGAGCACTGATCCTGAAATCAGGAAGATTTGAGTTCAAACCCAGCCTCAGACACTTACTAGCTGTGTGACCCTGGGCAAATCACTTAACCCAGATTGCCTGAAAAAAAAATTAAAGAAAGGAATCACTGCTTTAGGCCTTTATTAAGAATGAATAGAAAACATTTTTGGGAATGCAGAATTCTCCTAGATTTCTTGCAACAGTAAACTTTAATACTCCTGTAGATACAGGATTTCCCAAGTATAGATGCCAAGATACAGAGCCCAAGAGATTTATGCCTTTCATCCTGTGTGATTCTTGTCCACATCCTTTGACAAATCCTGTAGTCTCTTGACCTCTGTAAACCTCTGTAAACCTCTAAAGAACAGGATTGGTATAAGATCCTTCGCAGCTTTGGATCTATGAACCTATCTATGGTTCTTCCATTCCACCTGTAATTTTGATTCTTCTAGGTTCTTGCTTTTCAGTAAAGAAGAGAATTAATGAATTACTTGAATTGCCTATGGGGTATATGGGGTGTTCAAAAGGACCAGCACCTCTAGTGTGAGGTTCTCCTGAGCCCTTTTCAGGGCTGCTCATCTACCTTTGGTGTCTACCTGTCACCTGTGGCTCCAAGAAGTTGTAACACTTGAAAAGGCAAAACCCCTCTAAAATCTTCTGGGCAGACAGGCTAAACCAGATTAAGGGTGATGGCTAAACCAGGTCATCAGTGAGTTAGGGGAATGTCTACAAGCATATGAAGACTTCCTCTGGTGAAATGAGTGGATGAGAATAATTTGTTCCAATGGCCATGAAGGCAATGTTGGCATATCAGGTCCACTTTTCATCTATTTGTTGTCTTAATTTCAGTTATAAATGCCTTAAGGATGAAAGAGTTTCTTGGGTTTTATGCCAACCTATCTGAATATTTTTTTTTGCCTCCCATGCTTTTTCTTGACTTATGAGGGCAATATGGTTCATGATCTTCCAATATTTTCTTCCCTGGTATTCATAATTGAGCTTACACTCTGTTCTGTTGATTATTTAGGCTGAGCAGGCCATAAATTCTTCTTTCACAATTCTTATTTCTCTTCTAAACTACTTGGGATTATAGTGATTGAAGTAAGTTAAACTGAGGCAATAAAGCTCCAAGCACATTCAATTTATTGAGAAGGCCAGCAGTTACCAATAAAAGGAGTCTTTAGCTCCTCAGCAAGTCAAAAGACCCCAAAGTGGGGTTTTTAAGACTTCTTATAGTTTAGGGAAAATAGATAAAAATAGAACAACACACAAGCAGGACGTATGATTAAGTCATATGGTTTCTATTGGTGGGAGGGATGAGATTTTTGTCCTTGTTTCTAGGAAAAGCTGATTGGTTGTGTCCACCTGCATCTTTGCAAGAACACCTAATGGTGTAGAGATGATAGGTTTCCTTGACAAAAAGATCAAACGGCGAATTACAGAAAGACTAAACTTCTGAACTTCTGGACTTCTGAACTTAACTCAGAGATGAAGAAACGTGGTGTAAGCACTTATACAAAAGTTTGGTACAGAATAGAATCAATTACAAAATGGAATCAATTTGATTGTCTCAGCATCTTTCTGCTTTGGTTTTGTGCTCTCTTAGGAATCCACAAGGTCCCCTGGTTCTTTGGCTTCGATTCATTTTTCTTCATCTTGAAATATTTAATCACAGATATCTAGGCTTGTTTAGCTGATCTGAAAGCCACATTCCCTTCTGTTATTGATATCCATCCTTTTGGTTTATGTGCTTAGGTTCAAGATTTTTAACCTTTTTTAAAAATTTCTCCTCCTGAGCCATCTTTTCATTTAGTTGCAACTTTCTTCTAGTTTCATTTATTGTGAGAATGCTGATGTGGTCCAGTTCTTTCATGAATACATCTGTCAGCTTGTTGGTCATTGGATAAAAGTCTCACTTTTGGGGTACCAACAGTTCAGTGGATATTTATAGGTGGCCTGTGATTTCTAGCATCTTTGCCATGGCGTTAGAAATTGTTCTCATTTCCACAAATTATTCTTTAAGCTAAACCAAAATCAGAGATACAAACGAGTATAGAAGAATGACGTGGGCATTTCAGGACAAGTCTCTCCCAACTCCAATTCATCCTCTGCCCAGTTGTCAGAGCGATCTTCCTAAAGTGCAGGGCTGACCATGTCATTCCTCTTCTCAGTAAACTACAGTGGCTGCCTATCTCCTCTTGGATCAAATAGAAAATTCTGTTTGGCATTCAAAGTCCTTCACAATCTGAGCCCCCCCTGCTTTTTTTTTTTTTGGGTGAGGCAATTGGGGTTTGTGACTTGCCCAGGGTCACACAGCTAGTCAATGTCAAGTATCTGAGGCCAGATTTGAACTCAGATCCTCCTGACTTGAAGGCCAGAGCTCCATCCACTGCACCACCTAGCTGGCCCCACCCCAGTCTTCTTATACCTTACACAACAACCCCCATACTCTTTGATCCAATGACATTGAACTTTATCTTCCAACTCCAGGCATT